CCTCAGCTGCTCAGGGCTGTAACCTGCTCAGTAGGACACCCTTCGCTGGCTCAGCCCTTTCCCGTTACCTGTCTCTACTCTTGGTTGGGTCTTCCTGGGACCACCTCCCAAATAAAAAACTTGCCCTCCAATTCTTGGCTCAGGGTCTTCTTCTGGGGGCCCCCAATTTGAAACCCTCCGGTGGCCAGTGCTTTATTTTCTCAGCAGAATTTTGTCACGATGTGAGATCATTTTCTTTCTAAGTCACCGTGTCTCTCTCCGTAGCCTGTGAGTTCCACAAGGGCTAGAACCCTTTTTGTCTTGTCTATTACTCTGGCGCCAGCCTAGTCCAGTGCTGGGCTCATAGTGGGCGCGTGATGTCATTGTCAAGTGACTGCAGGTTCCCTCCTTTCTTCCTCCCCACCCTCTGTGGTGATGTAGAAACAGCAGACGGAACGTCTGGGCAAGCTCCCGGCAGCCCCGCGGAGGTGGACTGGAGCCCAGGGTCTGCCATCCAGCCCAGTGTGACCGCCTCCAGCCTCCGCCTCTCCCAGGGAAGCGCTCACCTGCATGCCATGTGCAGGGGTCACGTCTGCCCTTTGCTTAAGGAAATATTCCCACCAGCGGCATCTTTCCAAACCCCACCTTCCTCCCCCTCAGAAGCTGGGGGCAGCAAGGGCTTGTCACAGTCTGCTCAGCGGGGGCTTAAACAACAGGTATTTATTTTCACACAGTTCTAGAGGCTTGAAGTCAGTCCAAGATCAAAGAGCCACAAGTTTTGGTTTCTTGTGAGGACTCTCTTCCTGGCTTGCAGACAGCCGCCTTCTCACTGTGTCCTCACGTGGTCATTCCTCTGTGTGCACAGAAAGAGAGCCTTCTGGTGTCTCACTGTCTTCTTGTGAGGACACTAGTCATATGGGACTAGGGCCCCACCCTTATGACCTCCTTCAATCTTAATTACCTCTTTAGGAACCCTATCTCCAAATACAGTCACCTTGGGACTTAGGGCTCCAACATGGGAACCTGGAGGGAGGGGACACAATTTAGTCCTTAACAGGGCTTCTTACAAGAAACATGATCCCGGCTCTAGCTGGCCCCAGCCTGCAAAGAGCCTGGAGGCGCTGGGCGCCCACTGTGAGCTGTGCTAACCGAGCTGCGGCGCTGGGGCGGGGCCAGTGCGGGATCATCAATCACCACCACTCCGCAGAGTGGAAAAAGATGAGCCCTCAGATAGCGGGAAGATGAATGGGGACGCTGACATGCGATTAAACTGCGATCCTCCGCGGAGAGCCGATGCCCCACGCTGAGCACAGTTAGTGCAGCCATGCCTGGGCTCCTGGCCCCTACCAGGGCACCCACCCCTCCCCCAGCCAAGGTTAAAGGATCATCCCTCCAAGCACACAGCTTCCCTGTCATCCGGGCCCTGTAAGTGATGCAGTGAGGCAAGGAAAGAGACCAGCACAGGGGCAAGGGACCGTGGGGTCGATCATATCACTAGGCACCATTCCAGGCTGCCTGGCTCTTGTTAATAATTAATAATAATAATACAGCATTGAACGAGCACTTGCTACAGGTACTTCAAGAGCATTTCCTCATTTTCACTCATCAAACCAAGTCAGGTGGTGAGGGCAACCATTTCTGGAGGAAACAGATAGAGGGACAGAGAGGAATTTATTCACTCATTCACTCAATGGATTTTTATTGAGCACCTACTATGTGTCATTATATCCACAAAGGGGAGAAAACCCCCACAAGGTTTCTGCCTTTATGGAGCTACCTCCAAGGTGGGGATACAGATGATAAAACTCTAACTAAATAAAAAAATTTCAGGTGATCATAATCAATTCATTTCATTAATTAAGGTGAGAGAGAGAGTAGGAGAATGTAACTTTGAATGGAATGGTGAGAGAAGGCCTCTTGAAGGAAGGGACACCTGAGCTTACACCTGCGGTGAAAGGCGCTGGCCGTGGGAGCAGCTGGGGGGGGTGGTGGGGTGCATTCTAGGCAGAGAGACCAGCAAGTGCAAAAGCTCAAAGGCAGGAATGAGCTTGGCCTGCCGGAGGAATCGAAAGGAGGCTGGCGTGGCTGGCTCTGCAAAGTGAGGGGCAGTGCGAATGAAATGGCATCAGGTGTTAGATGGGCCTCATAGGTCAGGGTAAGGAGCCGTGGCACTATTTTTTAAGTGGTATGGGATCGCTTTGGAAGGTTTTCTACAGAAGGGCTCTCAGTAGAATCGCATTCCTGTTTCAAAAGGACCACTGTACAGAGGATAGCTAGGAGGGCAAGAAGAGACACCGGAGCACAAGAAGGCATTGAAGGCAGTGAAACTGTGCGCCACCATCCTCACCATCACCTCAGCCTTCATGATCACTATCGCCATCATCAGAGGCATCAGGATGATAGTGGCTTGGATCAGGATGACAGTAGAAGCAAAGGAGTGAAGAGCGAGATTGGTGTGTGTTTTGGGGGGAGGTCCTCCAGAGCTTGTAGGTGGATTGGAGGGGTTAGGAAGGAATTGGGGAAGAGAAGCAGCAACCCTGGCTGCATTCCATGCTCTTTCTCCCCTTGAATGACCTACCCAATCTCCCTACTTCCATTCCTGACTGTCCTCTCTCACTAGCACCTGCCAGGCCCTGCTCCTGTCCCAGGCACCCCTGGTACGACTGAAAGAGCACTGGGTTTGGAATCGGGCATCGAACCTTCTCTCTCTCTCTGTGACCTTACACATGTGGTTCAACCTCTCTGGACTTCAGTTCCTTCATATGTAGAATGGAAGCACAGTAATTCCTACCTCGTAGGATTGCGGGGCTAGTACCAGGCTAAACTAGTGGTTCATTCAGTCTGGGCTCTTTGGATGGGGCTGCTGGGGAAACCGAGGCCATTCAAGGCCTCTTAACCTGCTACAAGTTCCAAATGCCCTGCCAGGTTGTTCCAAGGTTAATGTCAAGCTCTCCTTACTAGGTTTTCTTGATTAAGGGCAATGTCTTTTTTTCTGGTCCTTGGGGTGTTCGTTGTTAGCATTGTGGGTCAGGGTGGGAGGGCAGGAGAGAGGGAGACTGAGGAAGTGATTATCACCAAAGTGTTTTTAAATATGGACATTTCAGGCAAAAAAGCTTGAGAGTTTGCATCCTGACCCCAGACTAATCTGCATGGGAATGGAATCCTGTCACCAGTTGCTCCATGTGGCCGAGTAATGTTAACTTTCTGAGTCTCAGTTTGCCCCTCCTGTTCAGCGGTGATGATAACCACGTGTCTCATAGGGTTGTGAGGATTAAAGGAGTTAATATGTGTAAAGTACCTGGCACATAGTAAGTGCTTAGTGACTGTCAGCTGCCACCATCATCATGTCATCACCCAAAGACATTGGATTATTGTGAGGATTAAATTTGTAAAGCTCTTGGCATTGCCACCATCATTGTCACCATCATCACTATCATCATGATGATCCCCGTCTTCACCATCACCATCGTCATCGCTATCATTAGATCATCATCGCCATCGTCATCACCACCATCGCCATCACCACGGCCACCATCGCCATCGCCATCCCCATCGTCCCCACCTGGCAGGGTCAGGCAGGCTCTGTCAATGCACCACCGACACCTCGCCAGCACCTCCCATGTCGGTGCACAGCGGCCAGCTTCCGATTGCCGACATCTCTTCACCCGAGGGCTTGCTCTGGCTTCTGGAGCCCACGGTGCCTGTGCTCGCGGAGGCCGGCAGTGCCCGGGACCCAACGCCCACCCTCCCCAGGAGGAGCCCGCAGCCAGTGGCTCCCAGGAGCTGATGGGAAATACCCCGCTCCACGGCCCCTTGGGTAGGGATAACTCTGATGAGTATCTTCCACAGTGCTTGTCAGGGTCCTCCCGGAAAGTCGGGCTCTGGCTGCCCACCGTATTAACTCCCCTGATGAGGCCCCCTTTTATGCACTGCCTCCCCTTCTCCGTCTTACCTCCCCATTCCCTTGTGTTCCCTGGGAGTGACTGTTTGCACTTGAATTGTTGTTTCAGGGTCTGCTCCTGGGGGAACACAAACAGAGACACTGGATTGTTGTGAAAATTAAACTTGTAAAGCCCTTGGCATATATGAAGGGCTTGATAAATCCATTGCTGAACGAAGGAGTGAATAGGGGAAAGGAGAGGGAGAAATGGGGAGAGGATCTCAGGGAAGCCGTTCCTGCAGCACCCCCCTTTCGACAGCTGCCGGCATGACTCCATCCCTCCCTTTTCTGAGCTCTCTTCCCGGCCCCTCCTGGAGGCTGCAGGTTCAAGGTGTCGCCAGACCAGCTGAGAAACACAGCGCCACCTTCTCATCCCTAAGCTCCCAGGTTAACTCACTGCAAGGACGACACCCAGTAAGAAATGAGCTGGGGAAGAAAAAAACAACTTGAACAAAGGAAAAATGGCATTTAACTTGTGCCTTTAATGGTCAAACAGAATTTAAATATCATATTACAAAATGACAAGATTGTACAAAGCAACATTGAACACAGGAGATCGGTGAAGGGAGGTTGTTCCTCTTCCCGGTTCTGGGGCCTGGGCTGTTCATGGCCGCAGTGTTAGCGCCCCCCTGAGGCCCAGCCCCTCATCTCTCAAGGGGGCGCAGAGAGGGCAAGGGGCCGGCCCCAGGCCACAGAGCTCTCCTGGCTTCTCCAAGGTTGTCCCACTATACATTGTAGGGTTACTCACAAGCAATTTTTTCCTGGAAAAAAAAAAATTCACTGCCTCTGGACAGAGGTGCTGCATATTTTATTCTCCTCCGGGCTGGAAATCACGGACAAAAAAAAAACTTCATCCCTCAAGCATGTGGTCATACATCAAGCGTGGTGTAGGACCGTCCTGAGGGGGCCGGAAGGGCTTGGGGGGCTGCTGGGGGGAGAGCCGCCCCAGCCTCGAGTCCGTCGCAGCACCTGAGGGGCACCGCAGAGAAGACGCCTTGGAGGAAGAGCTAGACCTTCCTCGAAGCAGCAGTGCTCCCACGCTGGCTGCACCCGCACGGGGCTGCTCCCCACAGTCCAGGACTTACGTGGGGTTCTGTTTAATGACCCACTCGCCATGGGGGTTGGCGCGGTACAGATCTAAGAGGTAGGCATCTGGGTCCAGGCGATGCTCACCTGTGGGAAGCAGGGGACAAGGAGGTTGACGGTAGTATCTGTGGAAGATACTGCTGACCTACCCGGGGCCCCTCATTGGGCCAGTGCACTGCCACCCCCCAACCCCGGGCCCCCTCACCCGGGCTGTGTGAGCCTTGGCTGCTGTGGCTCACAGCTACCCCTTGCTTTGGAGAATTGACCTCTGCAGCCGTCGGATACTTGGAGGGGGAGGATATAGCCCTGCCCCCGTGACAGCCCATAGCCAATGACCGGCTGAGAGAAAGGTATAGGAAAACCATCCTCCCTGCCTCTAAGGGAACCACGCTGTCGCAGTTGGCGCTCCAGAGCCCCCTTGTGGCCAAGGCTAGAGTGCACCCCTTCTCCCTCCCTCCCTTGACGGCTTGTCCCAAGAAGCACCCCTTTAGTGCATCACTGTTCCTAAAGTCTTGTCTTAGCCCTGCTCCTTGGCCAGTGGCTGTTGATGGGTTGTCCCTGCACCAGCAGCATCAGCAGCTCCTGGGAATTTGTTAGAAGTGCAGATTCTCGGGGCCCAGCCACTTGTGTCTTAACAGCCCTCCTGGCTGAAGTCTGAGAAGCGCTGCTCCAGAGAATGCAGCTGAGGACTGCTGCCCGTCCTCAGTTCCCACAAATCCAGGGGTCCCTCAGAGCTGGACAGGCCCCCGGACCAGGTCTGCTTCAGCTAGGGAGGCCCAGAGGCATCCTTTTCAGAGGTGGTATTGACAACCATCACACTAAACAAAAATTCTGCCCTTTCCATGCCTGAAGCCACCTGAGGCCATACTCCACACTCCAAGATGGAATCCTAAGGTGTGGCCACAAGTTGACCCTTAACCTCACGGCAGGGCTCCCCCTGTTTTTTTGGGAGAGAGAGGCCTGACAGGGAAGGCTCAGCCAGAGGTGGACTCTGGCCTCCCGTAGAGGGGCCCAGTGAGCTCTCAACATCAGAGAGCTCCAGGACCTGGGCTCAGACCCGCTCCCCACTGGGAACTCACTGATATTCCCTCCAACTTCGCAGAGAACGAGGTCGGCTGACTTCCTCCACCGGCTGCTGCAAGACAGACAGGAGAAAATCACTGACGCTTTCTGCTCAAGGCCGCGAGACCAACATCTGCTTCTAGACCCCCGGCCTGGTGGGGCAGTCCTCACTGATTTTGTCCCAGCTGGGAGATGAGACATAAGGACTCTCCTGAGAAAGCCAGAGCCACAAAGGAGTTCCCCGTCCAGAGACGGGGAAGAGGCAAGTGACGGCCCTCAGGGAGTGCCAGTCATGGGTCCCCCACCACAAGTCCCCACCTGCTGGGCATCAGAGGGGAAGCTAGGGGGGCGGTGAGGTGAGGGGTGACATGTGAGGACCAGAGCCCGCTGTGAGGAGCAAATTCTGAGTCAGAAAGAACCGTGGGTATTGTATGGTTATGCATGATAATTATAGTTATCATGTAAGTATCATATAATTATCATATGAGTTCAATTTCACAATCTGTTTTCAATTTCCCTGTGGCTCTGGGCAAGCCCCTTCCCCTCTCCGGGCCTTAGTTTTCCCATCTGTAGAAGGAGAACCTGGACTAGACACTTGCTAATGACTGACAGTCCAAGAGTCTTTCCTGCCACCTCCATCAAGGAGGCTCCTGAGAGCTCAGCTGTTTCTTGCATTCTGGAATGACCCCTGCTCGTCAACCCCTCTGATCCTCTTTCAGTTCGTTGGCCCTGCGGCCTGAGGACCTTTGCACATGCAGTTTTCTGTGGCTGGAAGTCTTACCTCATTCCCTAAACTACCAAGTGCCTTGTTTTACATTCATGTTGTTCCCTGTATTTCTTATAAAACTGAATACAGTAACTTGATATTGACTGTGTGACTATTTGACTCATGTCTGTCTCTTCCACAGGGCTGTGAGCATATAAATCCAGGGCCCCTGTCTGTTCTGTTCATGGGGATACTAACATTCCACATGGTACCTGGTCTATAGCAGGTGTTCATTAAATACCTGTTAAATAGAATAAATGATTGCCACTATCATTGTTATTTGAAGCCAAGAAGCCCTTTAAGAAGGTTGGAGAGCCCAGTTCTGGCCGCCCTAGGAAAGGGAAGGCCAACAGCCTGTGTAGCTCCCCTCGATGGCCTTCAGCCCTGAGGTGCTGGCCCCTCCTTGCACCTGCTCCCTGCAGGGAAGAGGCTCCTGTTTGGGGAGGTGCCACTTACCATGGGAGGAGGTTGTCCTTGTCCTCACTGCCCTCTTGACCCTGTAAACCAGGACTGAGGCGCCCTGTGAACTGCCTGAGGACATGAGCCACTGTGGTGCTGGGGGTCAGGGGCACCTCCAGGGTATCTTTGATAAGCCAGGCCACCTGGATCTTTGCCACTTTGGGAGTCTGCGGAGACAGAAAGACCCATATGGATGGGCACGCATACACATACCTGTAAGTCAAGTGTGTATGCATATTTATGCACACATGCCCTTACACAAGTCCCCACGCTAAAAGTCAAAGATGCACACGTACACACCAGCCACTTGTGCACAGATCATACTTTGCTTATGCACAGAACAGCTCCTCAGTGTGCATACACAAACACATGCATGCACATGTGTTCATACCGGTACACAAAACAGGAGTGTATGAAATGCACCTACAAACACATGCACATAGGTATATGTAGATACCCATAACCCATACAGATCATGCACAACGCGACACTGGTCAGTTTCTCTGTTCAAACTCTAAATGAGGAACCCTGTTCAGGACTCCTCCCGGGAACACTTAATATTCTTGGAGCGTACTTCTCTTTTATTAACCCCTTTCTGTCCCAATCACCCCACAGAGCAACCACCGTCGGTCAGGCACACAAACTGCTGCCTAAAAATGGGGTAGGGGAGATAACCTCTACAAATCCCCGCACCACGCCCATTTCCTACTTCTTCAGCCAAGTTATCCCCCGGGTTTCTGAGACACCTGCTCTCTGGCCGCTGCAGTGGGGCTGGCGCGCCCCCTGGTGGTCTTAATCGGCAGCGCCGTTCCTGATGGCCTGTTCTCGAGTACCTGGACGCTGCGGAAGCGTCAGGCGCCCTCCCGCCGCCTCCTCCATCCATCCGGGGGTGAGGCGTGAGTGGGCACTCACCGCCTCTGGACCATCCTCTGCTTTGTCCCTGTCTGCGTGTATCCTTCGCAGCCAAGTCCTGAGGGGCCCGTCGCAGAGCTGGGGGCGCCGGGCACTGCTGTCGTTCAGTTTTCGCACTTGGGCAACCAAGAAAGAAGAGACCTGGCCAGAAAACAAATCAAGTCTTAGCAGGGGCACGGGGCTGCCAAGATGAGAGGCAGAGCCCACCAGAGTCATTGTGGCATCGTCCTTTCCCCGGCCCCCCTCGTGGGACTTGCCAATACACATTTGTTGAACTTGCGGCTGAAGCCCTAGTTTGGTGGGAAAAGAGGGGCCATACAGCCCCTAAAGAGGGCATGGAGTAGGGTACTCTGAGAGGGACAGCCCTCGGGTTTAGCGGACAGGGGTCTCCCCAGACAGGCTGGAGGACCTCCCATCTGTTGTGGGGTGGCTGCTCACTGGCACACTCAGGCACGAATGTCCTCAAAACACACCTGGAGCGGGCCAATGTCAGAGAACCCCCAGCCAGCCCCGCACTGGCAAATTCCCACAGAGAATTTTCCCAGATCATCCCTACCCTTCTCTCAAATTAGAAGCCTCCTGGGGGAATGAGGAGAATCCAGTCTCCATGGCCCCTGATAATAAGGAGCATGTGCTCTGGGTTCTGATAGAACTGGTTCCATTCTGGGCCTCTCTGTTTCCTGCTGGGTGACAACCAAACAGGATGATACACGTGGCAGAAAAAGGAGGGGGAAGTCTTCCATTTGACCTATCTGCATTTATGTTGCCTGAAACTTTTACAGCAAGGAAGCATGTAGGCATTTCTTGGATTTTTAAAACACACTTCAATAAAAAGTGTTATAGCCAAATGTGTTTTTGTAGCCACATGACCTGAGAGAGCCAAAAGGGCACCAGGAAGGCGGGAACTATGGGCGTGTAGGCACAGAGGAGCTGACGCTGGAACTAGGCATTGAAGAATATGCAGAAGGTTCCAGGCTTCTACCCTTTCTAAAAAAGTAAGGGAATTCCAGGCAGAGTGAACTGCATAAGCAAAAACTCAGAGACATGAAGTGCAGGGTGAATTTGGAGAACCAGCTGGCATTTGGCGTGTTTGGACTACAAAGGAGAGGCTGGCTGTGATGAGGAAGAAACTGGGGAGAGTCAGAGAGCTTCACGTCCTGGTTTCTGGAATAAAAAGCTATCTTCATGACTTTATGGATGGAGGGAAGGGTAGGAAGAAGGAAGGAAGAGAAGAAAGGAGGGAGGCAGGTGAATGGACGGATGGATGGGTTGGTGGGTGCGTGAGTGGGTGATGGATGGGTGACTTAATGGAAGGATGAATGGAGAGGTGGAGGGAAGAGGCTACACGTGTCTAAGGGCCGTGGCCTGACCAGCGGTGGCGGGCAGTGCCACCTTGTATCCACAGGGGTTTCACGTCGGGAGGGGACTTAGTGTTCCCGCTCCACCCTCAACTGTCAGTGGGCCTTACCTGCTCACACCACAGGGGTCTCTTTTCCCTACTCTTGCCCCTTGCCCTTGCTTTGGATTGTCACTCAGAGTAAGGGCATGGCTTGGTCATCTGGCTCAGGCTTTTGTCACAGGCAGGCCATGTGACGGCTTTTTCAAGATCAAAGCTTTGAGGGGAAGGAATTGTTAGTGAAGTTCTCAAGGAAAGCCGTTAATCTGGGGTAGACCAGATGGCAGCGGATTGGCTGAGAGGTGTGGCAGTCTGGACACCTTTTGGACGTTAAGGCAGGGGCAAAAAGAAGATGCTGGCCATCCACAGGAGGCAACAGAGGTCCCAGAAGAGGCACAACTAGTGATCTGAAAGGACAGTACTCCCAATCATGGATGGCAGGGGCAACAGGGCAGCTGTACCCAGAGGAGAAAAAAAGGCCCGTGCCTGCTACCCGGATGGACACCCTGTCCCCCTGCGCCACTTGTCCCCCAGCACTCACCGTCCAGAGCAGGTCCTGGTAGTACACCAGCATCCGCACCACCTCGGCTGCGCCCTCTGCCAGCTGCTTCTCCCTGCCCTTGGAGAGTCTGGGGGGCTGCCCTCGGTGCAGGAAGAGATTAGGGGCCATTACCGTGGACACATTCCACAGCGTCATCTTGTTGCTCTGTTCCCGGGCCACCACCTTCCTAAGGAACTCCAGGAGTGCCTGCAGAAGGGCACAGAAACCCCCTCAAATCTTGGCACGCCCCTGGGGTCCTCCACCTTCCCCAGAACATCCCGCTGCACTACGTGGGGGCCTGGGAAGGAGCCAGGGGCTGCCACAGGGGTTCCGGGTCCAGCTTTGCCGTCAGCCCAGCCCGCAACCCCGCTGTGTCTATTTTCTGCTCTATAAAATGTGGCCAAAACATGTCCCCTTCCCTGTTCCCTCAGAGGCTAATGAGCAAGACATCCAGGTCAGACTTGAACTTCCAGGCATAAAAAAGCCACAGCTCTGGGAAATGGATCTTTTCCTCGTGAGCCCAAGACAGCTCCTTTTTCTGGATCTGGTGGGTCTGAATCTGCCCAAAGTGCAAGGGAAAGGCTAGGGAAGCAGAGCCAACAGGAAGGAAAGGGCGAGATGGTAATAGCCGCCATTTATCAAGTATTCTTTGTGTTCCTGGCCCCCTAGGTTAGCACCGTACATGCATTTATCATCTTGTTTAAACCCCACAACCCTATAAAGTAGGTTCTTCCATTTGTCCTCATTACCCAAGGCCACAGAGCCAGTAAAGGTGAAGGGAAGGAGGGAGAGATAGAAGGATGGAAAGATGGGTGGATGGATGAAAGGAAAAAAGTATGGAAGGAAGGGAGGGAGGGAGGGAGAAGGGAAGGAAGGGAGAAATAGTGGGCCTGTACTGAACATTTGCTGTGTGCCACACTTTCTAGTCTGTGATTCCTTCTGTTTTAGCTCTTGCATTCCCCCAAACAATCACTCAGATGCTATTAGTATCTTCAGTTTACTGAAAAGGAAACAAAAATTTAAAGAAGCTGTCTTATCAGCAAAGCTGAGGTAGGTCCAGCTCTGTCTGGTTATAGACACCTCCTCGGGGCCTCCTGTGTCCACGTCAGACAAGGATTCCAGTAGACCTGGGGCCCCCTCACCCTAGAGGTATGTCTTGGATTTGACCCAAGGACAGCCAGGAGGGTGCTGGGAGCTAAGCCAAGGCTGCACCGCAGCCCCAGTCCCCAGTCCTGAGCACCCGCTCCCATAGAACACAGTGGGCATTCCCCCAGAGAGCATTTCCCAAATGGGTGCTCCAAGGAACGCCGGCATCGTTCAACGCTTTCCACGGCAAAGGAGGCCCCTGGACAACTGACTCTGGAAACTGCTACCCATTCCAGTCCCACGTGGAGGTTCACAAAGCCTTGGCCTATCAAGGCTTTGCGAAGTCCTGGAGGAAAGGATGGCCCCAATCTTCTTTCACTAACTCAGTGTTCGCCCATCTCCTCTGGACACTGAGCCTCCGCCCTAGAACTGAGAACCGACAATGACATTGGGCAGCACACACTCTGAGCACTGCGTCCTTTCAGGGCTCATCTGCCTCCTCTAGGGAAAAAGTCTCAGGGAAGACTTGGTCATCATGGCACCCCGGCACCTGGCAGAGTTGCTGGGTGAGCGACCGAACAGATGAATGAACGGGCGCACGTGGAGCCACCGCTGTGGCTGAGGGCCGAGATGGCAGAGCGGAGGAAGCTGGAGGTAACTCTCACCTTCAGGGCGTTCCTGTTGGGCTCCGGGAGGATGAGGACGAGCAGGTGGAGGGCCTGCAGGCGCTGCCTCGGGTCGGGGATGGCTGGGGGAGAGGGCGGACTGGTCTCAGGTCTCCCGGGGAGGCTCAGAGACCCTCCCTCCCTCAGTCTGGAGGCCCCTTCTGGGGGAGGGAGGATTCCAGGAAACCCTCCTTCATGAGGTCCGAAACAGGGCCAGCTCCCACCGAGCCCCAACCAGTGCTTGTCCCGAGGCTCACTCTCTATACTGTGTGAAAAAAAAATAACACCCACGTGTGCGTGCGCACCCAGGCGCACACAGGCATGCAACCTGGGAGGTATATGCCAGAGTCAGAAAGGCAATGGGCTGGCGATCACCTTAGGAGGGGGAATGGGTGTGTCCACTGGCTTAGCAGGACCCTTTGTGTTTGGAGGGTTGCAAAGCACAAGCTGCCCCACACCTGGGGCCAGGGTCTCCGGGGAGAAGGGGAGGTGGTGGGTCCAGAACTCAGAGAAGGAGTTCACCAGAGCCAGACCAGGCCTATCCGCTGCAGCCTGGAGGACGGTTGTGTAGGCCAACACAAGCATCCAGATCCTGTGTGGCATTCATTCATTCATTCACTCACTCAACAAACGCCACCAAGTACTTAGGTGCCAAGCTCCCATCCAGGGACCTGGGACATAGCAGAGAAAGAAACAACCAGGTCACAGATTCATGGAGCTTGTTTCAGGGGAGCAGACAGACAGTAGACAAGCAAAGAAATAATGAAGTATCTTCAGACACTGACTCCTACGAAGGGGAAAATGACAGAGTGTTAGGAATAGCGGTGCCTGGGCAGGCAGGCATGGGCGGCCAGGGAGGGCAGCTGGCGAGCTGATGTTGGACTGAAAGGCAAGAAAGCAGCAGCCAGGTAAGGGATGCGGGGCGGTTGGGGCGGGGGGGTGTCGGGAAGGGTTTCCAGGCAGAGAGAGCAGCCAGTGAGGGGCCCTGAGGAGAGAGAGGAAGGGGCACATCAAAGCCAGACAGTGGGGATGGAGGGGCGCCAGGAGAAGGGGCAGAGCAAGGCCTGAGTGAGGAGGAGGCCCTGGGGCCGTTCACTACCAGTGGGTGGCAGGGTGGGGGCGGGGTGCCCTGGGGAGGGACCTGATCGGACCTGACCTAATCTACATGAGAAGCAAAGGCTGCAGAGGATTCCTCAGGGTCCCTTGCCTCTTGCATGGGGGTGGGAATCAGGCTGCCCGAACCCGGAAACTTTTCAGAGAATCAGAGAGAGAGAGAGAGAAAGAGAGAGCACACACGCACGAGCACACCTGAGCTTCCCTCAAGGTCGCAAGGGGGATCTCAGGCGGGTGGCTTTCCTCTTTTGAGAAAAATAGAAGTAATGGTTTGTACTCTATGGATCAAACGTAGATGTGCAGAATATAGAGAGGGATCTGCGCAATACATGGCGACCTGCAGACGTGCACACAGATGGACATGCACACACAGGTGTGCCCATGGATGCCCACAGACACACCTGATAACCTGGGCCCCATGGGCATTATGAAGGGAAGAAAATTGGTCCATGTGAGAACTAATAAGGACCGTGGTATGCAAAACTTTACCTTCCCTTCTCCTCATCACACTGCGTACACACGATCATGCGCATACACAACACACATATGTGCACACAGTATATGCACATACACAGACCCCTGACACATCATACACTTGCACATATTCACGTATGCACACACATACTCATACACACACACTTGAAATCACAGGGAACGCCAAGTCCCATCTTCCCACCGCTTCCCTCGCCAGCCCAGGCCTTCAAACGCCCTTCTCCCACCTGCAAAGGGCGGGGGACACTCACTGGGCACCACGGTGAAGGCCGGGAGGTACTCAGCAGTGAGCAGAGGCACCGGCAGCTCCCGGATAAACCTTTTGAGCAAATCGGAGGCATCATTGTGGCGAACCTCATCCCAGCTAAACAGGCCAGTGTAGAAATCTCTCTCCAGCTTTTGTTCCAGCCCCTGAAGGGAAGAGGGACACTAATGAGAAGTTGGCTCAAGGCTCCAGGAAAAGTTGCTCCGCCACTTCTCTGGGCCTCAGTTTCCTCATCTGCAAAGCGCGGACAATTATAGCACTCACCTCGTAGGGTTTTCATGAGGATTGAATGGTCTAATGTGTGTAAATCACTCCACACACGTCGACGGTCTGGCTTCCCTGCTATATTGTGCCACCTCTATCCTTTCAAACCCTCCTGAATTCCATGACCCAAACAGAGACCAAAGGCAGAACTGACAGGCCGTGACCTGGATTCTCTGCTGGGTTAACACACGTGTGAGGGTGCTGGGAGAGGCAACCGCGATGAGGTGGGGAAGCCAGACCATTACCTTGACCCTGGCCTGGGATCCAGGCACCCTGAGGATGCCTTCCATGTCCAGCCCTCTCTTCTCCAAACAGGACAGCAGCTATGAGACAAAAAACCCACTGTTTAAGCCAAACCATTGAAAAGGGAGACGCAAAACTGGTGTGTTTGTCTCCCATGAAAACAAGGAAGAAGAAAGAGCTAGGAGAAGAATAATAGCTTTCTTGGCTGCTTCTATGAGCCGGGCATTGTTCGGAGAGCTTTTTTCTTTTCTTTTTAAAGACTTTATTTATTTTTAGAGAGAGCGTAAGCGAGAGAGAAAGAGAGGGAGAGAAACCTCAGTGTGTGGTTGCCTCTTGTGCGCCCCCTACTGGGGACCTGGCCTACAACTCAGGCAGGTGCCCTGACTGGGAATTGAACCAGCAACACTTAGGTTCATAAGCCAGTGCTTAATCCATGGGGCCACACCAGCCAGGGCTTGCTTTTTTTTTAAATATGCATTTTTCTCACTCAGTCTTTAATAAGAGAACACTGTTATTTCAGCCCCACTTCACAAGTACTAAACGGCAGTCTCATAGAAATTCAAAACTCCACCCCAAGTCTCTCAGCTAACTAGAGCCAGAATTTGAACCCAAGTCTCCTGATTCTAAAGCTCCCCCCTTATCCCCCAGTGGTGCCTAGAGTCAGCGTCTCACTGGCTAAATGAGCCCAATCTGGGGACAACTTACAGCTTGAAGTACCAGCGGCACCTGGGTGCTGGGGAGGGCTTTGCGGTCAGCTTCTAGCAGGGCTTCGAGGGGCACGCCAAAAAGGCACGTGTCTGCGGGAAGTCCAAAGAGCAGAAGGGGCATTTCACTACCTGGAAGGAAAACTGGGCTCCTGCCTGCCAGCTCTTCTGGGCGACTAGACTCAGACTCCTTGCCCTGCATGGGGACTGAGCTCTCTGGAGAGTGCCTGAGCTCTGACTTCTCAAGCAGGGCACGGGCCTCAGCAATAATGACAATGTTTGGTGTGTCACAGAGCAGAAAGTCTCAGCTGGAGACAGAGGCAGTGAAAGAAAATGGGCTGCCGACCGGGAGCGCCGTGGGTACCAAATGTAACAATGGTCCGGGGTGGGAGTGAGGGAGGAAGATAATACACTAAACGTTAATAGTGCTTATATCTGAATTGTATTTTTCCTTTTTGGATTTTACTCTATTTCCGAAATTTCCCACAATGAGCTGGAATTGTTTTCATATGCGGGAAAAAAAAAAAAAAAAAAGAACAGAAGGAAATATAGCGGCTAAGCATGTTTGGGTGGAAGAGGCCCCAAGCAGCTCCCTTGGTAGGAAAGCCAGGACTCGAGCCCCCTGGCTTTTGAAGCGCTGGAATGCTGACCTGCTGCCTTCAGCTTGCCTGCCTTGCTCCTCTTCAGGTCCAAGCCAAGGACGTCACAGAGCGCAGTCAGCTCGATGAGGGCCAAAGCGGAGATCTTCTTCATGTCCTGCGAGGACAGGTCTGCAACCGTCGTCAAGCCAAGCCTGCCTTTGGGGACCCTGAACTTCTAGGGAGGGAAGGAGAGGCTATCAAGCCACGTGTTGGGTAAGTGCGTTGAGGCTCTGCTCCCCACATCCTTCACCCTTCCTATCACTCCCACCGTTAGGTGGTTCCGAGGAGGAAGAGCAGAGTGGATAAGAACAGGGGCTCAGTGTTCCACCCCAGGTTCAAGGCCAAGCTCCACCTCTGAATGGGTAACCTTCTGAGCCTCCATTTGTAATCATAAAATGCTACTTACTTCATAGTTTTTATGAGGGTAAAATAGGCTAAGGGGTATAAAGGGTGTCAAGCACATAGCGAGGCCCCAGTAACGGGAAGCTGTTTTTACTGCCTGCATTCCAATCTGAGGGTCCTTTGTTGCCCTCCCTCACCTATTTGTCCCTATCCTTGGCTGTGCCACCCCAAGCACCCCCACATCCCGACCCCATCACCCCCGCCACACACACACACATTCTGATGCTCCTCTTCCTCACTCTGAATGATAAGAATATTTGTTGAAAAATAAATGATGTTCGACCTCGCCATCTAGAGGTAAGAGTGGGGATCTGCAGGCAGCCCCAGGCATCATTCCAGCTCCCGTCAGAGGAAAGGTGAAAAACAGCAAGAGCCAGGCGCAGAGGGCAGGTGTGTTAAGTATTTGCCTGGAGCACTTGGCCAGATTACGCCCCGGTGCCCATTCAAGTGCTCCAAAAAGGGAAGGGGAGCGTGCTGTGGTTGTAGGCAATGATTACCGCTTTCACACAGCCTAGTGCTTGCGGTGTGGGCTATGGAATCAAACTTCCTGGGTTCAAATTCTGACTTTACCTGTGAACCTGGATAAATAATTTTACCTTTCCATATGTCAATTTTCTTACCTGCAAAGTGGGGCTAATAACAGTATCCACTCACAGGGTTTTGGAGGGAGATTCAGTTTGATAAATGGTATAAAACACAGTGCCTGGCACATAATGAGTCTTCAATTATCATGACTATTACTGTTTTTAAGTATTTACACAATTACTGCCAACATAACAGAATAAAATGAAATTACTCATATATAGTACTTGGTATAATGCCTGATCTGTGGTAAAAGGTTACTATGTAGTATCTTCAGCATTATAAATTATTATTATTCATAGTTTAAAGAGGAAATCAAATCACCAAGGATAGCTGATAACGTTGAACATTAATTATCTCTGATGCTTTAGAAATAGAGAGTCATTCTTTAAAACCTTTACTTGGTGTACTATGGTTACATAAGATAGTATCACTGACTAGTACATGGGAACTCCAGTGTTTTTGCAATTTCTCGCAATTCTAAAATTACTTCAAAATAAAAAGAATTATATTTGAGTGAATGAAAGCACTTTCACACTGGAGTAGGGGCTACTACAAATTTCCTAAGGAGTAGAGAGTAATAGTCAATCGGGGGCCTGGGCCAGCCCCCGGGACAGCGCCCTCACCGGCAGGGAAACCTTGCTCCAGGCACCGGTGCCTCCGAGGGGCTGCCTGCCCCTCTGTAGGAGCAGGGCGGCCTGTTCTGAGTAGGCGGAGTCCATGTGGAAGGCCTCCTCCCTCCCGGGCTGGGCGAGCGACCCCTCGGGCTCTGCCGCTGCTGGCAAACAGAACAGAGAGGTGGTCAGGACCTGCTGCCTCCCTACCTCCTCCCACCCAGAGCCCAAAGGGGGCAAATTCTCAGGCTTCTGCCCTTACTCAGACCAGGTAAAGACTGTACAAGATTATAGCCCTGAGATCATGACCCCAGGAGGCAGGTTATTAGGCTGAGGGCTCAAGCCCTTTACCCCAAGAAGTGATTTCCCAGGCTCAAGCTCAAATCAATACCGTTAGGGATCAGATCCATTGCCCCAGGAAGTGCTTTCCTAGCTAAGGCCCATTGCCCCAGGAAGTAATTTTTTAACTAAATTCCATTGCCCCAGGAAGTGATTTCCTAGCTAAAGCCCATTGCCCCAGGAAGTAGTTTCCTAGCTAAGGCTCATTGCCCAGGAAGTAATTTTCCAGGCAGCGAGTCCAAGGGTCTGATGGGAAAACCCCATTCAAGGGCCACCTTGTCCCTCGAGGTCCCTTCCTACTGCTCCCAAGCAGAGAAGGCAAGGAACCAGCTGGCAGAGGAAAACGGTCAGTGGCAGCAGCCCCTTTGTGCAGCCTGGAGGATTTCCAGGGCCTGGAAAACGAAGTCCACCTACCTGGAGGAGACTTAGGTGTCCCGGAACTGAGCTGGGTCCATTTCATCCCTGAATCCCCATCCTCTGAAGGTGTTTCCTAAGCAAATGACAGGCAATTTCCAATTTGTTCTATTTCCCAACCTTGGGAAATAGAAGTCATTCATGACCCCGTCTTCACAGATGGAGCAGCTGAAGCTCAGAGCTCTTGCCTGAGACCCCACAGCTGCTAAGCAGGGGAGCAGGCCCTGGGCCCAGGTCTGTCTGCCTCCAGTGCCTATCGTATCAGTCACGTGTTATGCCGCTTCTAAATATTTCAAGAAAGCATCAAATGCTCAACCTGTCAGCTTAAAAGTGTCAGCAGGCTATACAATGATAAGCATTATAATCTTACTGATAATAGTTGTACAGAAGGAGAACCTAAACCCTGAGGCCCACCCAAGGACACCAAGGCAAACACACTGGCATACACAGTAGACAGACCTACATGCAACATGGGGACACAGTGGCAGGCAAGCACACGCCAACACAGCCTTGCAGCAGAATTCCTGTTTCACTTAGGATGCGGTGGCATTGCCATGGGCCCAGGCAGACAGGGCCTGCGGTCAGCTTTATGCCACTGACTTACCCCTGCACTGAAGCCCCCAAAGATGTCCCGGACATCTCTGACAGGTGGCTTATGGCGTCTTCGGGATGAGCGGGTGTAGATGTCCAGCCGGCGGCACACAGCCGCCACCTGGGTCTGTGTAAGGGTGGACAGGAGCCCCTGGTGATGACTGTTCAAGCCCAGGCCACCGAGGAGGTATGACAGGCCTGTGTCCTGCAGCCACTGGGATTCAGTTTCTCCTTCTGCTGATAGAAGGACACCACCCAGATGAAAACACACAGGTACACACTCAGTGGCGCTCACTAACCAAAGCCACACGCAGAAACATGCACATGGACACAAGAAACATCCACATGCCTGCTCATGAGACCCACTAACACCAACCACACTCTTCACTGGGGACGAGACCTCACAAAACACCTTAGTATTTGGGGGGTAAGGGTGGTATTAACCAGTATCTGGAATAAACCTATAAAATCATATTCTCTCTGAAACAGGAGGCCGAGGAAGGGGGCTTGTATGTTCTGATTCTGGAATGTAGCAATGAACTCACTCTCCTCCCACATCTGACAGAGACCAGCACAGGGTCACGTGGGCCCAGCCGTGGAGAGCACGGGCTAGCAGTTGGTGTCCCGTTGGAAAGTCTCCTTCTATTCAAGACCCTATTTGTGTTGGAATAATCCCCTCAGCTGTACTTTGTATGGAAACTGTCAGGGTCCTACAGCAAAACTATTCATCTAAATCGTGGGGACACGTTGAGACTGCAGGTTACGGGGTCCCATCTCCAGAGATGCTGCCCTAAGAGTTCAGTCTCAGGGCCTGGGAATCTGCACCTGAACCCTCCCTCCCCGCCCAGGTGATTCTAATACAGTGAAACCTTCAGATCCCACTTGGGAAACACCAGCATTCCTTCCTTATTATGGGGAAGAACAGATGAGAACTCGGGGAGGAAGTGGCACCCGGGTATGAGCTGATCGGTGCGCCCAGTTTGACCAATTAGTCAACCAGGTGCTGCTGGTTCAAAACATCAGAACTTCTTTTAGGCAGACTGATTGTGCAGAAATGCCAGACACAGAAGTTTTCCCCCAGCATCCCCTCTGCACTTGGGGACCAAACACGTTTCTGGGTGGCCACAGCTTTGCGTGCAGGCCCTCCCCTAACTTGAGCCTGTTGGTGAACACACTGATTCCACCGAGCTGCCGGGACCTGTTTCCCTCCTGCTGACTGTGGGATCTCTTCAAAAAACCGGCGTTTCCTGACGTGCGGACCTACCACCTTACAATTTTTATCTGTATCTAAGTTGTCTGGTATATTATTTACTAAATATTTTTTCCTAATCATCAGTTACATTTTTACTTACATCTATTTTAAAAGGATACAATATCCCGATCATAAGCATAGTGCCCACCATCACCTGCCATAGGTAGAAGTTAATGGAAACCAGTGAATATATTAACATTCTCGGCTCCATGCCACCCAGAGGCTCCCTCTGCGCTGTGAGTCCTGTTTTCATTTTAGTTGCCTAAACATGCTTCTCCTTTCTCCACCCCGCCTCCCATCCCTCTGTTCCGCTTCAAATCAGATTGCGGGCCATATCGCGATGCCAGGCGGGCGGCCTGCAGTGCAGGGCATCTCCTAAAACCACCTGTGTGTCACTGAGTATTTGCACCCCACACCTGGAGATGCCGAGGCAGACCGCCGGGCCCCTAGGAGAGCTGAGCCTCCCATGTTTTGACCACCATGGGTCAGCACAGCTGCTGTAGATGCCAAACCAAGTTTGCTCCGCTGAAGCCCTTTCATTCCCTCATTCATTGAGCAAGTAGGATGGAGCCCGCGAATGCACTGGGCTCCGTTGTAGGCACTGAGGGGACAGCGTTGATGGACAATGTCCCTAACTTCATGGAGCTAACATTTTACTGGCGGACACAGACAAATGCATAAGTATATGCGCTATGTGATGTCAGAGGAGAACATGGCCTCTGATGATAAACAGGGTGCGGCAAGGAACTGGAGAGCGACGGGTGCCATTTTGCTTTGGAAAGTCAAGGTCTCCGAGGAGGTGACATTTGAGCCGAGTCTTGAGTGGAGACCACAAGCCATGCAGACCCCTGGGGGCAGAGTGCTCCAGGCAGAAGGAACCGCGAGGACGGAGGCCCTGAGGCAGGAGTGTGCTTTCCTGGTCCAGGAAGCAAGGTGGTCTGAGCAGCACGGCGCGAGTGGAGAGGTAGAAAGACAGGGTGGGGGGGCATGGGGCAGAGGGGCCTGGGCCCGATTTTGTAAAGCCTTGTAAGCTGTGATGTGCTGCTCTGACATGCCCCCAAATTCTTTGATGCTCAGCCCATTAAGAGGTGGAGTCTTATTTCCCTCCCCTGGGATATGGGCTGGGCATAGGGAAATAGGAGGTAGCAGAAGCGATGTTTCCTTTCTTCCAAAGCCGGTTTAGAAATGGCAAACCAGCCTCTGCCTGATTTTTTCTCTCTCTCCTGCTGTCCCTGGAACCCAGTGGCCTTGCTGGGAGGAAGCCCAGACCACACAGAGAGGCAAAGAGGACGCATTCCAGGTGACAGTCCCAGATGAGGCCCAGCTGATGGCCACATCCACCACCAGACACAGAAGTGAGGAATCCTTTGAGCTGACTCCGGCCCCAGCCACCATCTGGCTGTAACTGCATGAGAGCCTCAGAGCGAAAACCTCCCCACTGAGAGAGGTGGGGAGACATTTGGGAGACATGTTGAGCAGAGGGCTTAGAATTCCACTCAGATATATCCCCAGTGCCCAAAACAGTGCTTGGCAAGAAATAATTATATGCTGAATAACATAATCTAAGGAGGGACATAATCTAATTTACAGTGGTGGGGAGCAATGGTAGCACAGGGAGACCAGTGAAGAGGATCCTGCAAAGAGTGATAAAGCCCTTTCATGATCTGATTTGTGCCTGGACCTCGTGCATGTCTCCCCCGACAACGAGGGCCTCCCTTCCGCCTGGCAGCCCCCACCGGGGCTCCTCCTCACCCTCGGGTGGCCGGCCTCCGCTGCCCTCCTCTTCTCTCAGCTGATCCCGCTGTTGGATCCGCTCCACCTCCATCCAAAAGCCGTCCATGGACAAGCTCTCCGCCGAAGACAGCCGGGAGTGGGAGCGTTCAGCAGGGCGGGCTCGCAGGGGCTTCTTCTGCGGAAGCTGATTCATGGGGCCTGATGAGGGGCCAGAGCTGCAGCAGGCGGGGGAGGGAGGAGAAAAGTCAGGCAAAGCTCTGCTCATAATGGGGCTTGTCCCAAGGCTTTGTGGTTCTCCAGAAATCTGCCTGGGGCTTCTGGGAGCTGGGCGAGCTTCCTGAGCATCCTTCTCAGGGGTGACAGACATACAGCTAGGCTCAGCACATTGGCCAGTTTACCCGTTGTCCCCTCAGAATCACGTAGAAACACACGAAGCTGCAGAAGATGGACAAAGGGCCAGAGAGTTGTGCTTTTTCCCACCTTCTCCGGCAAAGTGAATAATCTTGGACCCAAATACAGTAGAGTAAACATTGAAAAGAGGGAATCAAGCACCAGGACACGTGAGGAAATTTAGTGCAGCTCCTGATTCATCTCACTGAAGTCTGACCCAAATGTCAATGACCTTCCCCCCACCCCCATCCCCTAATTCATGAATCTGACTTCCACGGCCTTGGTTTCCCGGTTTACGTGTGACCGACCACCTCATTTCCTGCTCCCCTCCAGCTGGATCAGAACAGACCCGAGTGTCAGACCACAGAAGGACCAGGCCACATCGCATGAGCCATCAGGTCCTCTCAAGGTGTGGAGCCAAGGGCTCGAGGGGGTGACGTCGGGTGCGTGACCTGAAAAGCTGTGTGAATGTGGTGGGGCCAGAGCAGCCAGTCTCCTACGGGCAGCAGGGAAGGGACCCCCTGCAGCTGGTTTCCCAGTCCCTGCTCCAGCCTCTCTTGGCCCCGCTGTGTCGTTTACCCTTAGAGCCCTGAATGCCTGCATCTCCTCTTCTGCACAAACTTCTGCACAAACTATCTGATTCCACTTTGCGCAAATAATCCCAGAATGGACAGTGCAGGTCTCCGGGCCCAGATAACTTCTGGGGGCTTCCAATGAACGTGGGGATAAAATTTCTATGCTGCTGTGCAGACTCCTTGAGAAAGGGCAGATTGGGAGCTGGAATCCACATAGACCCAGAGACAAATCAGCGACACAGGTCATAAACCACCCTGTCGTCAGAGGGAGGAAATCCATGCCCAATTTTCTCAAATAGGAAAAAAGTGTGTTCTGCAAACTCTATAGACACTTAAGTTCAGCAATGATCCCAGGCAAGATTATAGACCAAATTCCGTATTTCATCTAGAAACAGGCAATAAACATACATGGTTGGAACTGTTCTGTTAAAAAAGAAAAGGATTCAGTTTGGCATTTTAAAAAGTCATTCATAGGACACTTGACACAATATGATATATAGATTATGTATTATAGAATTATACACTTGAAACCTATGTGATTTTATTAGAATGGCTGTTATCAGAAAGACAAGAGATAAAAAGAGTTGGTGAGAATGTGGAGAAAAGGAAACTGTTGTGCGCTGTTGGTAGGAATACGAATAGGCACAGCCACTAAGGAAAACGGTATGGAGGTTCCTCAAAAAACAAAAAACAAAAAAAATGAAACTGCCATATGATCCAGCAATTCTACTTCTGGGTATATATTCGAAAGAATTAAAATCACTATTTTGTTTCTGACAGGTGCAGCACAGTTGGCTGGGCATCATCCTGAGAAGCAAAAGGTCATTGGTTTGATTCCCAGTCAGGCCACATGCCTGGGTGGCAGGCTTGGCCCCTGGTCGGGACACATACGAGAGGCAACCGATCGATGTTTCTTTCCCTCTCTTTCTCCCTCCCTTCCCCTCTCTCTAAAAATAAATAAAATTTTTTTCAAAAATATCACTATTTTGAAGATAAATCTGCACCTCTGTGCTCACTCATTATTTACAATAGCCAAGACATAGACACATCCTAAATGTCCATCGTGGATGAATGGATAAAGAAAACACGGTGTATAGATAGACAACAGAATGTTTTTCAGCTACAAAAAGGAGGAAATTTTGCCGTTTGTGACAGTATAGATGGACCTCACAGGCGTTACACTAAGTGAAATAAGTCAGGCAGAGGAAGACAAATACTGTATGATCTCACTTATAAGTGGAATCTTAAAAAGCCAAACTCATAGAAACAGAAAGTAGAAAAGTGGTTGCCAGGGGCTGAGAGGCAGAGGAAATGAGATGTTGGCCAAAAAATACAAACTTCCATTTATACAATGAATAATTTCTGGGAAATCTAATGTACAGCTCGCTGACTACAGTTTAAATGCTGTATTTTTTCTTGAAAGTTGCTAAGAGAGTAGATCTTAAGTGTTCTCACCACACACACAAACTGGTAACTATGTCAGGTGATGGATGTATTAACTAAGCTTTTTGTGGTAATCACCTCACAATCTATAAGTGCATCAAATCATTACACTGTACACCTTAAAGTTATATGTCAATTATAACACAATGTTATATGTCAATTATATTTCAGTAAAGCCAGAAAAAAGCATCCATAATGCAAGAGCAAAAATTAAAAGTAAAAAAGATGGACCAAATATTGGGTAAAGGCTAACAAAAAAGACAAAGAAATCAATATCACTTTCACATGAAGAAGCATTCTAAAAAAACAAACAAACAAAAAGCATTCTAGGGGGAAATAAGAGTAAATCCACAAAGAACCTATGACAGTTGGGAACCTTTATGCACTTAACACTATAGCAAACAATATATGCAAGAACCACTAGGAGCATGAGATGGATGGAAGCCTGCTGGCCTCGTCATTTGCAATTTTCCCACGGGATCTGGTTTTCCAGTTACGAGTTTGCAAGTTCTCCGGTCTCTCTCAGACCTCCATGTCTTTGCATAATTTGTCGCCTTTACTAAGGCTGGGCTTCTGCAGTCCTAGCCACTACGTCCCTTTGACAGGAGACCTGGCCCATGATTGTTGCACTAGAGACAGTTATTTTTTTAACTGATTTGCGAGAGAGCGCGGCATGGACTTGTTGTTTCACTTGCTGATGCATTTATTCTTGTGTGTGCCCTGACCGGAGGTGGAACCCACAACCTTGACACGTGGGGATGACGCTCTAACCGACTGAGCTAGACGGCTAGGGCTAGAGACATTCTTAAAATAAGACTTGGTGAGATAGGGAAGGCATAATGCAAAGCCAGGCGGTTCAAGGGAAGGGTCAAGGGAGGTCACAATGCCTCGAACGAGTGGCGTGCAGGGGCGGTGGGCATGCATGGTGGCTGCCTTCCCAGCACCTTTTCCACTCACGTCCTACTGTGTAGCAGCCAGGAGCCCACCCCAGCCTAGTCACAGGAACAGGGCCGGGTCATTTGGGGGAAGAACCATTGTGTGTGAGTGCCCACCACTGGGTCTGACGTTTCTTTGGGGGCGATGAAAATGCTCCCAGATGGATTGTGGTGATGGTGGCACAATTCTGTGAATATACTAAAAGCTGTGGGACTGTACAGTTTAAGTGTATCAATTACATGGTAATGAATTACACAGCAACAGAGCTGTTGTTTAAAAAACAAAACGAATGAACCTTTGCGTGCATCCCCCCAGCCACAGGAATTGGTCTGAGGAAGGACGCACTCAGGACTCTTGTGGGAATTCTGGGACATAGACAGCTCGCTCTAGACCTGGGTGAAAATAAGTCTCCTCAAGGAGTTGGCAGTCACAGCATGGGGATCCGTGCAGGCTTAGAACAGAGCGGATACAGCACACAGCAATAAAAAGAAACCTTAAAAACTGGGCCCTAGATAATACCAAGGGGCAGCTGAATCCCAGGAGGCTCCCCCTGACAGTGCATTTTGCTTGAAATCTCCTCCTCCGGGTGTGGAGCATGCGTGTTAACCCAGCCCCTTTGACAGACGCGTAGGTGCTTCCACCTGTCCGCGTCACAGGGGACGCTGCAATATGCGTATTTATCACCTGCTCCTCCGAGCAGAACTACCCGGAGAAGAGAGAGTGCTAGGAGTGGAACGGCTGAACCCGAGGGTTTCTTGCCTGCCAAATTTTCTTCCCGAAAAAATTGTCCTGTTGCAACTGTTGGTTTGTTTTTGTTTCTGCAGCCCAGGACAGGGAGCTGACTTTCTTTGCTCCTGCTGCACACCTGGCCTCCGTCTTGCGTGGTCCTGGCCCTGGAGTCCCAAGGCTGCGTTTTCCCACAGCTTGGAACCCCACGCATAGATGTTCCCCCGGCTTCTGGAGGTGGGCTCAGTACCCAGGGCCAGCGTCACGGATGGCTGACCAGTGTGGTCCTGCTTAGGAGGCAGGGGCTTAGAGCTCTGCTATCACAATGTTGAAATTTGTGATGATTTTTGAATGAGCGCCCCTCTGTTCATTTTGCACATCCTGCCAGCGTCTTACCCATAGGCCCCGGCTTGTGCCTTTTCCCCAAGCGTCCTGCCCATATGCTGAGCTTGACTCCATATCATAAACGCCTCCATCCCAAAACATACTCAAATGTGGTAAAGCAAAGGAACCTCAGGCCCGTCCAGACCCAGAGGAAAAGGCAGGGCAAACAGCCTCTCCCCAGGCAACAGCTTGGCCGTTTGCACCGAACAGAAAAGCTTGACCGGAGACCGATTCCCAGTTAATTATAAAATTGGCTGTTCCGCTCTATTTGTGCTTTTTGGGAAAACTGCTAGTCAGCGCGCCTCCTGCGAATCTGCTGTTACCCCATGCCGGTGCACAGCTCGGTTTCCTTGGTCGCTTTGTAATTTGCTCGGAAATTGCTGGCATCTGTGTGTTTTCGTGACAATTTGAAAACTGCAGTGAGTAAACCAAAACAAAAGTTATTCATGGTGACAGCTAAGCAGTAGGAGGAAAGAACCAATCATTGCTTTGGGTGAAGTTTTTGAGGAGATTGGACAGGGCAGCAGGAAAGAGCAGAAATGAAATAAACCCCCAGCAGTTCTAAAGGTGTCGCTGTTCCCAGATCACATTTTGTAGCGTGGCCACAAGTGCCCTATTTAGCTAAAGAATGGGCCTCAGCACATCTGCAAAATTTGTTCTGAGCTGCACGGAGTCCATTTTTCGTTGTTGTTGTTTTCAGCATTTTATTGATGTACAGCAGATGCAGACAAGTGCAGCAGTCCTAAATGCACAGCGTGATG